GACTGAGCTAAGGGATAGGAGGCTTTGGGAAGTAGGATCTCTGGCTATGCAATTAGATTTATACTTTTCAAGACCCTTGGGACCTGATTGCAGCCCGGCAGGAGGTCCAATATCAGCGCTGAGAAGCGCATTGACAAAGACGCTAAAGTAGAGACACAAGTCAGATGTTTCCCCTTCCGCATAGCCTTCCGGTGGTATAGAGAGACCGTTCACTTCATTTGGAGATCTTCGCCCTATGGTATGTCTTCTCACGTCGATTGAGACTGTCAGGACGGAAAGTATGGAAATTTTATGGACATCGAAGGCAAGGTGATTAGGCCAAGACAACACATTCCACCGGTCCGCGTGAACGCCCGTGTGGGATGTACTACTTTTGGAAACCGGTGTTATGACCATCCGTTGAGCCCAGCTCATGGCCAGGCTGGAACAGCGGTCACACTGAGTCACAAAGAGCGTCGCCGATTTTGGCGACTAGGATTTGTGATATGAAACTCGAATATCGTTTGAAAGCCCAGTGGGCTTTGCGAGGGATGGCGCATTGAGTAGGTGTCATCGTTGCTTCAGGCGGTATGTTGTTTTCCTTCCTCGTCGATGATCGATGATCGCTCATGAAGGCGTTAATATTCACCGCTATGAAGTGTAGGCATGTCGGATAACTTCTAGGTCTTCAGGGGCTGGAATTTTAATCGTCTTATCCTCACGTGCTTGAAGGCTCAGAGTGGGGGGCGTGGTGCAAGAGAAGTTCTCCATTTTTGGACGGTGTTATAGACTCATCCACGCGGTAGAGAGTCTGTGCCGTGCAGTATGTGCTTCATTCTCTCTTCAGCGGGCCCGTAGAGAATTCGGCGGAATTGAATCACTTGTTTACGGATTTTAGAGAAGAATACATATCGGATGACGGCTATGTTACATATGTCAATCTCTTGTAAAGAATCAGATATCGCTCCATACGATATCCCGGAACTCGGTGTCCGCATTGCCGAGAGAGTTGGCTTCGATCTGGCCAGCGGTGGATCCCTCAAAGGCTGAGTGAAAGAAGGATTTTAGTATCGAATATCCCCAGTGGAATACATGTGACTTACGGATAAACTGTTTGCGTAAAGGGAAGACGAGGGTAATGGTCAGTGGTTGGGTCGATGAGACAGAAAGGACAACATACATAAGCGATGAAGTCCTTGGCGTGAGCGGGGTCCTTGTAGAATACGATTCTATCCTTGTTGTAGTTCGCTGCAGTGGCGGTACTGATATCCGCGATCGATTTGAAGCTGAAGGTGCCCCGAGAGTCTAGCAAGGGAAGTTCGAGTCAGTCAACGATACCCATATCACAGCTCGAACAGCAACGACTTACTGACGTTCTTATCGTCCGTGAAAGCACTCGCGACGTTTGAAATAACAGCCTTCTTGCCAATGATGTCGGTCGTTATAGTAATATGGGTACCAGTGCTGGTCTTCTCGACAAGGCCCGAAACCTGGCCAATATGAAGGTCAGTCCATTTTCCCTCGTTGGAATAGCCATTCATCCTCGTCAGGCCAATGACGTTGGCAGGGTCATACGCCAAGAACTATATCGTGGGGTTTGAGATCCGGTCAGGACGTGTAGACGAAGTCCAACGTACCACAGCGAATGGGTCCGCGTCAGGGTCATCGGTAAAGGTAAATGTGACTTGGGCGCATTGTTTACCGTCCGAGGGGTTGGTGACCTGTTCAATAACGTAGCTAGTGGCTTTCTCCATGTCACCGGTGCTGTAGTAGAACAGGGTACCATCGGGATCTGACAGTGGACGCTATGGGTCAATGTGGGTGTATAATCAGAGACAAGAGCGTCAACGAACCGGACCCAATCCACACGCCGTCAGTAAATTCTTTTCCAATGGTCGGGGCCTCGACACGGAGCGCTTTGTAGTCGTATTGGTCGTGGAAAAAGAGGCCTGCAGCAGGAACGGCGTTGCCTTTGAACTGCTGCCTGTACTTCTCGAAGAGATCGTTGGACATCCTTATTGAATGGGGCGATGAGAAACTGAAGATCGAGTTGAGCAAAGAAATCTGAGGACTCTGAAGAGCTTTAGCGTACCTTTTGACTGGCTTTATACGCGTTCAAGTTCCTGCCATTTTTGAGCAGCTCCAATCAGCGAAACCAAAAATAGACGTCAACTTGGGCAATGATGCCCAGCTAACCGCTGAGCGTCAGGTGCTTCGGCTTCTTTGCATTGCCTTCCGGTGGCTAAGAGAGCTCACCTACTCAGTTTGGATATCTCGCTTCATGGTTCGGGTTCTGACTTCGATTGAGGCTGTCAGTACGACGGGCGTTGGCACGGCATGGGGCGCCGAAAGCAAGTGATGAATAGGACCAATTGCTTCGTTGTCAGAGATGTGCTCCAGGTTGAATATCCGGCGTTTTTTATCCCCGGCCTTTGTGCAGACGTCTAGGAGGGTAGGCCAACCTTGGAATCTGGCGTTATATCCCTCCGTACGTTGGACTCCTAACGCAAGTCCAACGAGCCTGAAAGAACCTGAGAGGCGACATGGAAGAGATCCATAGCAGAGTGGTTAAACCTTCGCTGCAGTTAACCAACGTGTACAGTGCTATTCGGTCAGAATTCCAGCTGAAGACATTTTGCATTCCAGATCTCATTCGGGGATAACCACCAGAGGTTGTGGTCGAAAACAGGGTGTGGACGAAAAGCGACGTCGAAGCCGACTGTTCCAAACAAGCCCAACGTAGGAGACCACCGATTTACACGCAATTACATTTTCTCCTCGTTTTTCCCTCTGGTTTTCGAGATTTTCTTTTGGGTACTCGTTCGACTCCTCGGACGCCATCGACGGTCACCAACTCAAGAGTTACTCTCGAGCCATAGGCAGAATTCTCCTCAAAAAAACCTGGATTGAACTACTACCGACGAATACTACATATTTACTTCCTGGCCTTGCCCTTTCCCTTGGAACCGGTCGACTTGGAGTCGCGAACGGGCTTGGAAGCAGGTTGAGCACCAGGAGAAGAGCCCTTGTTGCCCTTCTTGAACTGGCCTGAAGCGGCACGAGCGTTACCATCGGCCTGCTTCTGAGCATTCCTGTCCTTCTTCGCCTGGGACTTGGCGGCATTGGCAGCAATGTTGTTCTGCTTCTTCTGCGCCTTTGAGTGGGGCTTCACTTGCTGCTCGGAGCCCTTGTTGAGACTGTGCTTAAGCTTTGCAGCGACATGGGAGTCGCTGGGCTGCTTTCCACGGCCGTGAGGGTGGATGTTGACTTGGGCAGCAGTGGTCGACTCGCCCTTCTTCTTCTGGCCGGTCATCTGGACAGCGACCTTGTGAGAGCCGCCAGCGTTGGTGGGCTGCTGGCGGTCGAGATGGAACGAGCCTTTGGTGAGGACAGTCTTCTGGGAATTTCCGGGAGCAGCAGCGCTACCGATCTGGCCGCCCTTCTTGGCGCCGTCGATGAAGGCGTGACCTTCCTTCTTCTGTGCTTTGGTGAGATCGGTCTTGAATTCGCCCTGTGGGATGGAGGTTTGGTTAACGGAGTGATCGTAGCATCATACGGAGGTGACGTACGACTCGGGCCTCGAGGTAATCGACGAACTCATCGAATCGGGCATCGAGGTATTCTTGGTACTCGACTTCACGAGCAGCGAGGGCACTGGTGATAGGTGAGTCTAGATCAGCTGCGATCTATTAATCAGAGAGGGTAGCCACGTACTACCCGTCTTCGGACTCAAGAGCGCGCTCGTAGAGGGGGAAAGCCAAAGTGGAGGCAGCGAGGGAAAGGACAGCAGTAGCGGCGGTGAACTTCATGATGAACGTTAGGAAAGTAAGTTGAAAAGAGTAGATTGAAGGTAGGGAGGCTAAGCGTTTACGTCCTGCGTTGCTTGGGGAGATGGGGGTACAGACCAGCTGAACTGAGGAACTCGTTGACAGAAGCACCAGGTTTATATAGGTTCTGACTTAAGCTTTACCCCCGAACCGGAGAGGGGTCATTGTGCTTCGGCGTCACCGGCACCTGGTGCTCATCGATACGTCTGAGTAAGTGATCATTCATCCTCCCGCTATTCACGCAGTCTCGTCTTTTGCACTGATCTAGATACAGGTGCCAATCGTCATTTCCGATAGCCCACCTCATCCCTGTAAATCCTGCAGGTGCTTTACCGCTCACTTTCTGTGCCCTAGATGTTCTAGAGGCCAGGAGGATCTGCTAGAGCATCTGTTACGAAGGCCTGACATCGCCGTTGTGAGCGGCGACCGGGTCACAAATGCTGTGATGTAACTACACGAGGATGACATGTGCCAGGGAAGCACTGGATATGGATCCCAGAACCCCAGAGGCTTCCGATGATGCGTGTTCTGAGATCTATCCTGCACCCTCGTTAGCTCTTCCTGCTTCTCCCCTTTTCTACCATCGTAAGTCATCTCATAGGCATGGATGGCTATTCGGCTGGTAACATTGTTAGCCACTGTGGTCTAGCACCGAACCCTGCTTCGCCTTCAGCTTGGGAGTCAAAAATAGCTCGATGACGACTTCGACGTCGTCTTGGTCCTGTGGCCCTCAAACTGTATTGGATTCATCAAATGCTGTATCCATTGTGACCACCAGGATTCCTTGAGATGAAGAGTGAGTAATCGAAATGTGACCCCCAATATTCCCCGCAGCACCTCCATCATCGTTTCAGTGACTTCCTCGAAGCAAAGCCCCACTTTTGTCGATACAATAGACAATTGACGCGCTAATCAGCGATGCGACAAAGACTTGATCTGTGGCTAACTTTGGCTTAGTGAAGGTATTCATTCGGCATGTTTCTATGTTTGACAATGGCTTCAATTGGCATAGCCTCATGTCCTTCTGTGATCCCCTTCTTGACTACCCGCTGATGACTTCACATTCCCTTGATGAACGCCGAAAGGGTTGGAGAGAGAGCATCTTTAGCAACGTGCATACACCAGGCTGGCAATAGTAATAGTGACGCTCCTTCAAGTGAGCAAAAGAAAATACAAATTGCCTTGCCAACAACGAGTCCCGACCGTGGTTCGAACACAGGGCCTCGCGATTTGCAATCGCACACTATACCACTTAGCTGTCGAGACAACGATCAAAATATTCCCCTTCTCGTTCTGTCAAAATTTCACAGATCGAACCGGACCAGGTTGAAACCAGGTTGCATCCAGCACGCGAAAGAGGGTGCAGAATGTCCGTTTACTGTGGCGATAGTACGGCTAAAGCAGTGGCTCCTTGTCCTGGTTTCATCAACACAAGGCACTCTCGGCAAGATGCCAAATCACCATCAAACTCCTGTTTCGTCAAGTTCTGAGAGCGCCCATGTCAGAATCACGGTTCGAGCTTAATGGGATCTTCACCCTTTCGGACCTTTCCACACCCATCTTTATTCCGCCGCCGTATCTTGGACCACCTCCACCACCTCCACCCCCACTGGCCAAGCTTTCTTTGGCACTGAATACCGAAACGCCTTCATTTGCGCGATGACTGGTCAATCTCCCCTTGTGCTCTTGGACCTTCCACCCGAAATCTTTCCTGTTATCGCCGGCCATCTTCCTCTATACATTTCTCCTCGTACCCTGGTTGCTCTGGCGCTTGCTTCTAAGGGAACATACGATCTCGTGCTCCCCATTCTCTACTCCCATCTTATACTCCAGAACGAATCATCCGCTCTGCGTGTCATCAACGAGCTTCTGGCCAACCCTGACAAAGGACGCCTCGTTCGAGGCTTCCACATCCGATCCAAACTATCAAAGGATGTCAGAGAAGATCCGAACCAAATCGACGTTGTCACTGGTCTCCAGCGTCTGATCGAAACGGGTCGGCTGCCCCTTATGCACACTCTCGAGTTGCACATGGAAGGGCATGGCTGGTTCCTAGATGAGGATAGGACAGTATTCGAGGGATATGGCAACCTTCGCCAGGAGTTCTGGAAGGCGTTGAAAGAGAAATGCCCCGAACTCCACACCCTTACTCTCACCAACTTGGGAGATGATCCCGAAAGCGATCCATGGCTTAACGAGAGCGGTCTGTTTGAAATCGAGGTTAGTCGCTTCTTCTGAAAGCACAATCGCACTCAACAAGGTCATAGAGGATTCGAAACCTTACCCTTCGCTTCATCAACAACTCTCTTGATGAAAAGGGAAACGCTCTCGTTCTGTCGACCATCACCCGCCTTGCCCCCCAGCTAAGGACGCTCAACCTTGCCCAAAACTCGGAAAAAGACGAATGGATGGAGCTAACTCCGCTCCTTTCGCTCACCTTCCCCAACCTCGAATCAATGACTCTTAGAGGTCAAACGCTGAATGACACCGCAACGGCGATGGAATTCTGGAGTCGTCATCCCAAGCTTGAGTTTATTGGGCTCAGCTATGGTGACACGGACACTCCGCGCTTCGACATCGATGGGGTCCAAGAACAAGTCAACAATGGAGCCTTCCTTCCAAACCTTCGACATCTGAGTGTGAGTTCATCCTGCTCTTCCGGTGGGTCACCTTGCTAATCTCGCTTAAAAGGCACCCTTCAACGACGTTCGCGCTCTTGGCCCATTACTTCCTCAACTGATATCCTTGGTAATCGCGGACACCCTGAACGCTCAAGTCCCCTATCTCCTTCGTTCCATCGTCTCTGGTGGCCTTCCAAATCTCCAGAGCCTTAACGTCGAGCAGAACGGCGATCCAGGAGGAAACTTCAAGGATGTCGAGGGAGCCACCTGGTGGGAGACACTCGACGGGGAGTTCAAGACGGAGGCATGGAAAAAGGGCAAAAAGAAGTTTACGAAGAGCGTGATTGATGATCCCGAATGGATGAATAGCGCTGTGTTGGCGTGCCCAAACCTCAAAGAGCTTGCTTTGCAGACGGACGATATCAGGGTCTCCAATTACGTGCGTCTCAACCCTCATTCAAGGATGCTTCTATGCTAATCTTTTATCGGGTGGTGGTTAGACCGATATCATCCCATCTCTTTCTCGCCTTATTCATCTCGAGCGATTCTTCTACCGCGACCAGGCAGAGGGTCTTGAAGGCCTGGATGACGATGCTAAGGAGATCTTTGTGTCGCAAGCGAAAAGTGCATTTGAGGCATGTCCATCCCTCGTTGAGATCGGAGACATTTACGCCGACCCACCATCTGGGTACCTCACTGCGAAAGCCATCCGAGAAGACGGTTCCATTTTGAAAGGTGCTCAGGTAATGATGGGCAATGGGATGGTAGTTGGTCAGGAGGATCTGGCGTTCCCAAGGAGCAATGATAGGGCTGGAATATGAGACAAGAATCTACCTGCGTATTTAAGAATGGAAGATGAATGTATTTTCAGTTGAACTGGTGACCACTGAGAAGAAGATTTAAATAGCCATCTTTTGCCGATCGTACAAGATTAGAATCGAAGCCTAAAGCCCAAGGCGTGCGAATAGTCACATCGATTCATCGCGCTGAGCGCGCAGGACCCACAATATCACTTTGGACCGACTCGCTCTTTACGCACTCGCACCCAACTCGCGCCCTTCAGACAGGATGAAATAAGCCAAGATGCAACCTGTGGTTTTCGTCAAGAGCCGCTTTCGAGGGCATTAATTTGAGATCTGCGAATTTGATTTTGATTTTGAGAATCGACGAAGGTAGGGAAAGGAGACTAGTACTTTGAGATTAGATTCATTGAAGCTGCAGCGGCCTTTCCCTTGTGTCGAATTGTTCTGGCCCCCAGCTACAGCGCCCTCGCTGGCCAGAACTGCAAGTGCCAAGCTGCGAATGGTCAAGGTCTCCAGTGAAAGGGTCTGACCGACCACTGTTGCGGAGGAAACGGCGGCGCCCAGTTCGGAACCATTCGAGCGTGCCGTGCCTTCTTCCAGGCACTGGCTACTACCCTGGGCCTAACCACCAGGTGAAATATGCTGAGGCTTGCTCGTTTTGAACTATGTACTGACGATGTGGCCTTATTGCTCTGCTGGTGGAACGAACTGCCTCGATTCAGTTTGGCGCTCCCAGCGCCTTTTGCTAGGGCTGAGTGTGGGGTCGACCTGCATTGAAACAATGCTAACCACAAGATCGTGTGATCTTTTGAACTCACCTACTACCATGTAACAATAAATCGAACCATCGAGACCTGAACTATACTCTCTTCCTACCCGATCGAGCTCTGAATTGAGCGAGCCGGAGGTGATATCTCTTCTGGAGAGGAACTTATGACTTGGACATCCACAACTCCATGATGCCTCTATGACCGCATTGGGCAGATGGGTGAATGCCGAGGAGCATCGGTCATTTCATGATTCCTTCAAGCCTCCGATGTCCATCGGGGATGGGGTGTCCTCTGCTTCCTTATGTCTAGCGCGCAGTGTCCATGCTAACGCGGTGCTGTCTGGGTCTAACTCAAGAGAGTTTGGTCAGCCGCCTTTGCGCTAATATGCATGAACGAGTGCTGAATAGGATGCCTGAGGATTCTCAATCCTGTGGCTTGCTGCTTGAACTGCCGACGGCTGCTAATGTCAACGGCCTAGGACGCGCTCTGGTCAGCCGAGTACCAGAACTTCCCTTCTATAAACGAGCTCATTGCGTGGTGTTAACCAACCTAATCAAGAAGGATGATCCGAATTTCGAAATCCCCGTCAAGCTTAGCTCGAGAAGACACTGGAGCAGCCGACACCATGCCGGCGGATTGAGCTGCCCATATGGTAATGTTTGGAAATTCCAATGTCTTCTCGGACACCTTCGAGTCGAGTAAACTGCGTGAGCGTTCGCCGAGAGTCCAGCGAGTGGACCCACTAAGCCAATGTTTCTATCTTTAGTTGTGACTTCAGTGGGTATAAAAGCGCTATGTACCTTGTGCTGAATTCCGTAGAGCTTCACACTCAAGGAGGATTACACAGAAGGCTTCTCTCAAATTATGCAATTCAAACTCTCTTCTCTCTTCGTTGCCATTTCCATTGCCTCTGGGTACGTCGTCGTATAAGACCGACTCTTTCCATCCCTTACAAAAGTTATTCCTTTGTAGTGTACTAGCAGGCCAGAACTGCAAGTGCCAGGCCGCTAACGGCCAAGGTCCTCAATGGAATGACTTGACAAACTACTGCTGCCGTGGACAGGGAGGATTTGACTTTGCGACTGTTGCAACTTGCCTTGCGCCTTTCGCTGGCTTTTACCCTGGACCTAACCACCAGGTGAGTCGGGCCCCCATGTAAAACGAACCGCTTGAGCCGAAAACTGACGACGCACTATCTCACAGTGCTCTGCTGGTGGAACCAACTGCCTCAACTCGGGCCAGTTTGTGAAGTGCTGCCAGTCCCAGGGTGCTCCCAGCGCCTTCTGTTGGGATTAGGTATATGCGACCTAGCACGGGTCGGTATTACTACCTGAAGTATAGCTCTGTATCAACACAATGTACCAGCCTTTTCTATATGACTCGGATACTTGGCACATATCCAGCGAATGTAGTCGTTGAATGAACCAACTCCTTTGGGCCTCGACGATGGTGGTCTGGTTTGAAGGACGACATGCCGTAGACGAGATAACTGTCGAGAAACATTCTATAGGTCCTACAATACTGAGGTCACAATGCTTCGTGTGGGTAATGGACACTCTTGTTGCAAAGATCACGAATGCGGCGCTGATAAGCGCCCACCCTGATCACCACATGATTAGTTCACACGACTACAGCCCCTGTCTTAGTCTACGCGAAACCAGACGTTGACTCAGTACCACCATCCTCCGCACAGGCTCAGCCAGGATCTCGATTATGGAAGGCCATGGGTTTGTTTTGGCGATGATGTTGCAGCACGCGTGGTCTGAGGCCCCTTCACAGTGGCTCTTCTTGAATGACCGTCGCTCATCGCTGGCTCCCCGATGCGATGAAATGTTTTATATTGCATGCAGTTCTCCGTGGAGAGTCCTAGTCGTTACGATACCTTTTGGGAGAATGCTCGTGCTCAAGAATCGAATGAATTCCGTATAGTGAGTAATAACATGGGCATTATAAGGGATAAAAGTATACTAAAACCCAATAAATAGTAGGAAATCCTATGAATGATACTGGATTGAATTGTCCATTGCAGTGTTCAATTACTCCTGCCCGTAAGGGAAAATCTGGGGGCAACC